ATAAAAAATAGATGTATAAATAATGTCAAGAAAAATAAATAAATGATCACTACAACGCTAAATTAAAAGAAAAATTTAAGTATGTTATTGAAAACTATCTTGAAATACTTTATTATAACTATTTTTAAAAATTTTTTTAAGAAAGTTATTTTCAAAATCATTTTAATAGCTCATTTCATCTTTTAATTTATGAATAATAATAAAAATTCAATCTCATATATGCGTTCGGGCATTTACATATATGCCATAAATTCTTATGAATTTATATATTTAATATCTGAACTTTAAATATTATTACTTTTAATATGAAAAAAAAATGAAATACAATCTTTTTAAGTATAGATAAATAGTAAAAAATATAAAAAGGAAAGATAAAGTAGTAAAAATATAATATGTCATTTATATTTGACATTCGGTTGGCTGCCGTCCACCCAAGCGAAGGTGCTCTCAACGCTTACAATGAATAACTTTTTGTTTATTTATTTATTTATTTTTCATTTTTATACCGAGCTTTAATATGCATCTGCTGTGCATTTGGACATAAAAAAGGCCATCCATTCGTTCCATTCTGTTTCTTCTTCATCCTTCCTATGATTCGTTTCCAGCTTAATTTGCCCAGAAAGCTGAGATCTTTTACCTCTTTACTCTTCAGGTGCTCTCTTTCTCTCCTCTTACTTTGCTGTTTACTCTTTGAAATAAAATAATTTGTTTTGATTCACTTTCTACTCTTTGCTTGATTTCAATTTGCGGCTCTTAAATTACTAAAATAACAAGTTTTTTCAACTGTCTTTTATCATCGAATTGAGATTATTTGGTGCTGTGTTGTAAGAGAGAACTTGATGGATGATTCCTGTATTAAGTCTTTTTTCCTTCATCCTTTTCTATTTTAAGGCAGGCCTTCGATTTCTAATGGTGCTCTGTTTTGAGTTGAAATTGTTCTTTTCTTTGGCCGCCCATCTTTTTTGAAGGGAACTGATGTAATAATGGTGAAGAGACGTGGTGTAAAGTTATTAGGGTGTTTGGTGGCCCTTGAAAATGATTCTACACAATATTATGTTGTGTTTTGAAATAAAATCCATCGTTATTAGGGCTTAGCCCGGTCGACTCGACAAGTCTCACAACCTCCATGTATGGGGTCTCTCTTTATCGTGCTTCTTTCTTCTGGATTGTTGGATTCTTGTGAGATCAACACTGATGCCTTTTGATGTACATATCTATATGAATTTGGCCAAACAACTATCGATTTCTAATCACTCCTATCGCTCTACAACTGGCTAAATGTAGGAGAAAAATAAGGGGCGACATTATGTAACCATCACCTTTTATGATGTATAGAGGTGTTTAGTTCCAAATTCATAGATGATAGTTAGTTTACATTTAGGTAATACGTAACATTCATATATAGGTTAGTTAGAAATTTTTGAAAAGGTTGGAAAACACAGTAAATAAATATATGTTAGATTCTGATTTTGCAATTAAGTTTGGTGATAATTTTCTCTGCATCTCTAAGCATTTAACTCCAAGTCCATTTCAAAGGAATGAGAAGAAGATAATAACAATCAGTTGTTGGTTTCAGTTAGCTGGATGTCAAATTATAGGAACGTGATCTGATATTTTATAAGGTTATGCCTTAACATTAATTCTTTTCAAGGTTTAATTAAATAAAATAATTAGTTAGTCCATGTCCTTGATTGAAATATAGCATCAGAATAAGCTTATTTTTTATGTAAAAGTGAAGCTGCTTGATGAAACTTAAGTTAGCAATTAATTAGAAATGAGAAAGATCGAGATGAGCACCCATATTGAGTCAAAACTATTTAAGCACAAAACATGCATCCTTACATGACATGAAAATGCAATAAGTAAATAAATTATAAAAATGGTTTAACTGTGTCTTCGTCAACTTCATATCTACATATTTGAATGTAAAGGAATTTATTTTTTGTTGGTTTGGAAAAAACTGGTGTCTTTTTATTGGAAAATTTAGATCTGTTTAGCAAATATGTCACCATGTAATTTCTTAATAGTTTATAGAAAAAATTTAATAGAGAGTAAGCTGAATAGCTGTGGCGATCTTGGTGATGTTAAAGACATTGAAATGTCAACTTTCAAACTTTCACTGCCCCTGCATGCTTTTCTTGATTTGTGAGAGCCTATTGATTTTTCAAAAAAAAAAAAATTTTTGCTCTTCCTCATTTAGCTAATCACTCATCTAATATCCACACAAACATATATTGCTTATACCTCACTCTCAGTTTACATCCGGGTAAACAATACTATGAATCATGGGTGCTTCTAAGAGCTGACTTATCATGTGGAGCATCGTACTAGACACTTAGATCCTCGGGCTTACTCAATGAATCATATTAGGCATATCATGTAATGTGTCTCATTTTTAATTGCTTAAAAATCTTTGAAATTTTGGGACATTTCTTGGACACTTATTGAGCATGTTATGGAGAGACCCCATATTACAGAAAAATAATGCGACTCTAATTTATCCTATATCCTATTTATTATTATAAATTTTCATCTCGCTCTCCCCTTAATCATTTTCTATTAATATTATTCATACTATAGTGTTATTGAATCTTATGGCTTATCATTTGATAAAATGTACTAGTTTATCAACTCCCAAGATTAGTCTTATTTGATCTAGGATTTTATTTTATTTATAATAGTGTATTTAAAAAAAAAATAAATGTGTTTTTAATATATGTTTTTGTCTTGTATTATAAAATAATTATCTTGTCATATTTCGTTGTTGTTTTTGTTCCCTTGTTCTTGCATTTATAGTTACATGCTGTACATTCATTATATGAGTGTGGAACATGTATTTGCTTATGCAGTTGAGATTATAATATAGGGAACCATAGGTTCAAGGTGATGCAAAATGTCTTAGAATTAGTATTTTCTAATACAACTAATATGACATATAAGATGATTACATGCAAAGTAAATTGAAGATTACAAATCACAAGCCTCCAAATAATTCAGTCATTTGTATACTTTAAATGTAAACTCAGAGATGATATAGAATAACATAAACTTCGTAAGCAAGTGTGGTTGATTTCCAAAAATTGAATTTGACGTACTCAATTTTGAGCAAATTCAAAAGCAATAATATAAGCACTAATATCAAACTATATATATATATATATATATATATGTATGTATATGCATATGTATGCATGTATGTATGTATGTATGCATGTATGTATGTATGTATGTATGTATGCATGCATGCATGCATAAAAATTAAGAAAAATAGGCCAAACGCCCATACAAGGAGATGATTTCTCTTAGAATTAGGTAGTTGCACTGTACTTGACTCGAGGAATTACATATTCAGCTTGTACCCAGAATATTAAAATAAAAAAGGAAGTTTTATGCGAGCTGTTGTTTTTCATAATCAAGTCAAATCAATTTTTTTACCAAAACAATTTCAACCACAATCTAAAATTTTCTAAAACTCCAATCGAAACCAAAACAAACATTAAGCGGTGAAATTCGAAGCTTTTAAACCTCATTGGAAAACACATTTAACCTTCACAATTCTCAATTTGCATGATACAAGTAGGTCACCAAAACTTCAAATCACAATGCTATTGAAAGAAATACAACACTGGATTTGTAGAACAAATTTGGAAGCACGAGTATGGAGCTACACCTTTCAATTTCAAAGGATAATGCTAATAACCATCACCAAGACAAATCAAACTAAAAAGTCCAGGTCAAGAATCATAGAACCTTATAACCCTGAAAATCATTATGCATGGTGGAATCATTAGAACCATGCACATAGCATATGATCGCTCCATCACTAACATATGTAGGCATCCATGTTTGCTCTCTATGTAATTCATTCCAAAGAAATATTTAAACAATTTACAAATTTGAAATTCCACAATTAATTTAAGAATTAATATAAAATTTCACAATGAATACGATTTACACCACATATATGAAACTTGATATGTTACTAACTTAACAAGCTCTCTGTCATGCATTCAACCTAAGCAAAAAGTAGTTTAGATGAAATAAGAAAGATGAAAAACTGGCCAATTCAAAACCCATGCCTCAATAATGATTCAAGGAGAAGAACAAGTTACATACCAATACAGAAGCATCCCCATATGTTATGTCAAGACTTTCAAAAAGTTCCAAGAATCCAAACCCATTATCACTCACAAGTACTGAGAATAAAATAAAAAATTTATTCAGGCATAAATTAAGGTTCTTATTTATAATTCAGAAGAGTAAAATCAATAACTCATCAAGGTCTTCCAAACTTTGGCCATTATCAAACTTTTATGCGAATAAGTAGTTTAATTATCATATGGTTATATTTGAAATGTTACTTGATCTTTATTTTTTAGTTTTCTGCCTTCGTGGCTTTTATACAGTCGTGGTGCTAATGGAATTTCCAATGATCGTTAATGGTGAACTGATTTGTCAGCACATAATAGCTCATGTGCTACTTTCTTTAGTGCTTCAAAAAGGACGGCAAGGGTTGCAACACCCCAAAAAGAAATGGAGAAGCTACTTTTGTTAGTACAAAGTTCTCTGCACTATCTTCACTTCCAGTTGTTTTTGTCCCTTGGAGCACATGCATGGCAATAATTGCATTCTTGCCCATCCAGTACAACCTTAAGCTGGGATTTCATTATTTTAAGTTCAAAAATATTTGTTTGGTTGTCCTCCTTTTGTTCTATGTGAGAGTATTAAGTTGGCAGGCTGTTCTCATTCATTCTTTGCCTTTCTTGTAGGACTGTTTTTTATCACAAATTGTGGAATCGCGAATGGGAAGATCTTGCAAAGGCTGTCTAAATTTATTGTATTGAGTTTCCTTCAAATTTTTTGAATGCTATAAAGTTAATTATCTTTTGAATCCATCACCTTCCGATAGGATGGACAGGGCAGACACATGTGGATTTGTCAGCGGCGGAGATTGCAGATTACAATTTCATTTGTATTTACATTTTGTCTACTCGGCAGCTGGCAATTAAGGAAGCTGCATTGGATTTTAAAGCAGCTAAACTTCCTCAGGCTCTCCGTTAACCGCCACTACGACTGCCAGCTGATATATGGATCTTAACATGTCAAAAATGATAATGATTGGCAAAGATCTGCAAAATCCTCTGGATATGGAGCTAAGACACAATCCCAAGAAGAGCTATAGTGACACCAGATTGCGCCTGGATTGCATAGGATATGGGTTAAGCGAGACAAACATGGCAGATTATTCAAAGAGCAGTTTCGACCTTCAATTTCAGGGTGATGAATGTCATTTAGGCCTGGGGCTGGGCTCTGCTCCATCTTCCTGCAATCTCCGTTGTTTTCAGTCTGTGCTCAGTAAAGTTAAAGAATCTGCTACTTATTCAGACTGTAACTTGCGTTCTGGAACTAATTCTGATATGCTGGAACTTGGTCTCTCATGCGGTGCTCTATTACAATCTTCCTTGGAAAGAACTACTGTTACAGTTGTTGATGAAGGATCAACATCTGCAAAGAGGAGTTCAGGCGGTTACATTTCTTCTCTTGTATTTTCCCCAAGATTTGATGGCTCTGAAGCCAAAGAGAGTCCACCAGTGACCTGTAATTTGTTGCATGATGAAGCTCATGGGCATCTATTCAGCTTCTGTTCTGATCCTTCAACTACCACTAATTCTTCAGCAGGGACAACATCCCATTCAATTGGATCTTATTCTCAATCTCATATCCATAACCTGAAGAAATGTAGATTCAATGGGTGCTCGAAGGGAGCCAGAGGAGCATCTGGTCTTTGCATTGCCCATGGCGGCGGCCGGAGGTGCCAGAAACCTGGGTGCACCAATGGTGCAGAGAGTAGGACGGTTTTCTGCAAATCTCATGGTGGAGGAAAGAGATGCCAGAAGCTTGGATGCACCAAGAGTGCTGACAGCAAGACCGACTGCTGCATTGCTCATGGAGGTGGACGTCGATGCAGCAATTCTGGTTGCACAAAGGCAGCCCGTGGCAAGTCTGGGTTATGCATAAAACATGGCGGGGGTAAACGCTGTACTGCTGATGGCTGCAACAGGAGTGCTGAGGGTCAGGCTGGACTTTGCATTTCCCATGGAGGCGGCCGACGGTGCCAATACGCCGCATGCACCAAGGGTGCCCAGGGGAGCACAATCTACTGCAAAGCCCATGGAGGTGGCAAGCGTTGTGTATTTGTGGGATGCACTAAAGGAGCAGAAGGAAGCACTCCATTCTGCAAGGGTCATGGTGGAGGAAAACGGTGCTTTTTTGAAGGCGGCGGAGTTTGCCCGAAGAGTGTCCATGGAGGTACCAACTATTGTGTAGCTCATGGAGGGGGGAAGCGGTGTGTGGTGCCCGGGTGCACCAGGAGTGCCCGCGGGCGCACCGATTGCTGTGTGAGGCATGGCGGTGGTAAGAGGTGCATGTATGAGGGATGCACGAAGAGCGCACAAGGAATCACAGACTTCTGCAAGGCTCATGGGGGAGGCAAGCGATGCGCTTGGTATGAGGCTTGCGAGAAGTTCGCTAGGGGGAAGAGTGGATTGTGTACAGTGCATGGCAATATGGCTGCTTTGAAGGCGAGAGAAGGCGGCAACTTGATTCAAACGGGGCTCGTTAATGGATTCGTGACAGCCAATGGAAAGAAGACTGATAATGAAAACTTTGTTTCAGGGATAAGTACCATTTTAGAGTGTGTGGAAAGGCCAGGGAGGCGGCGGCAGCTATTACCTTCACAGGTCCTGGTTCCTCTGTCTATGAAGGCCGCCTCATCGATGGCGGGTGGAGAAGGAGGGCAGAACAACCAAAGCAAGGGGAGCTCTGAGATTGTCATCTCTGAGGGGAGGGTACATGGTGGAGGGTTATTGATGTTGCTTGGGGGAACTTTCAAGGATGCTGCTGATATGTTTGGAATGTGAAGTTCTTCCTTGAACGGATGTTTCTGTTTTCCTTTGCAGCTATTGGTGAAATGTTATTTTTATTTCATATCGCTGATATAGTCTACTGCTTCTATGTTATTTGTGTGCTATGTACATGTATAGTTTGAATATATTTTGTGGAATTGAGACTGATAAATGAGATTTCATGTCATAAGCTTGTAAAAAACGTGGAATAAAGACTGAATAAGTACCATTTTGTGAAATTGTTGGGTGTTAACGGTGCCTATGTACATGAGATTTATTTTGTTATAGATTTAGGTTGACTCTTGTTAGAGTTGTTACTCTGCGCTCTTTTCTCCCCGTTAACCGCCGGGAAATTTAAGAGAGTAATTAAGCCGAGCGGCTTTTGAGCTAACTGGAGCTTGGCTCCATAAATAGCTAATTAATTGAACTTTATGAGCTATCGAAACAAGCTTGAGCTACCTTAGACTCAATGAGATGACTCGTTTAAGAAAATATTAATTTAAAATATATTAAAATTCAATAGTTTTAAATATAAATTAATAAAAATACGAACGTATTAACTACCATGAATGGGTTGTGTATGTCAAAGCAAATAGTAGACCCATTCTTTTATTATAAACCATTCATTTTTTAAGTAAACTATTAAGTGACGAAAGTAAAATTTTTGCTTAATTATTGTTAATTAACATGGAACATCTTATTTTATTTATCATTTTCTTCTTTTTGACTGATCCCCAACAATCCAACAGGCTTCAATTGGGCAGAATATTCACAGAATAATCCCCATCTGAAGTTGCAAATGGGTAAGATCAATTCTAATAAAACCATGCAAAATTTATATAAAAGTATGCAAAATTTATATAAAAGTTTCTAGGGTGGATATATGACTGTACGTATGTATGTATGTATGTACGTTTGTAATGGATGGATGGATGGATGGATGGGTGGATGGATGGATGGATGGATGGATGGATATTATGGCTATTGCTCTTGGATGAAAAAAAAAAAAACGAGACATGATCCAGCTGATCAGTATCAAATAGTTGCAAGACAGATGCACATGGAGTGCATCCCAAAATAATTGAAGTCTAGTATAAGATAGACTTAGGACAATTCAAGAATTTATAGAGATTCCCATGCAAGGCAATATGAATACTATAGATGTATGTGAGGTTGCAACGAGGTGCTGAAAAGCAACAATACAAGTAATATTTTTGCAAAAACTTTTTAAGGGAAGAACGCATTTCAACTTGCAAGTGAGGTTGTGATAAAGGAATTGATGGAGAAAAGTGTAGCACAAACTAGATTGCATTATGAGATCTTCAAAAGGGAATGTCTACAGCGCAATCAACATAGGCATTTCCATTATAGCCCGCGCCACATTGTTAAGGGTTGCAATCATATACGTCAACCAAACTTGCATAATACTTGTCATTACTGCTTGACCTATGTCACCACCTTATTAATGCCATAGTTTTTTCTTCAAGTCCTACTTTTTAACCTTCCTTGCATTGCAACTATAATCGTTGAAGGCGAATCTTTCAAGACCTATGAAAGAATCTTGCTTATATAATTAGCATTATCATCTTCTAATCAACATTTTAATTTTTCTTATGTCACATTAGTCTTCTTCAAGATCTATGAAACAGCCTAAAATGTGATGTGACGACTTCAATATATGCACTGCAGGCTCGCTTTCTTCATAATTGTCCCTTTTAAGGCTATCATGACAATCTCATCATAAGGTCATATAATAGCCTCTCTAACATCATTTGTGCGATCTTTATTAGATTAATACCATTGTTCTCTTCAACTGCAATTGTATTAAAATCCCTTTCCATCATGTGATAGCCTCTACTGGCCGTATAAATTGAAGATGATCAACTCAACAAGCTTTTTGAATTGAAATAAATTGCTTGGTTCTATAATGTATTTCTCCAAAATTTTCTCACCTCAATTACCAGCTGGGTAAAACATTTGAATGCTCTACATCAACATCTACAGCTTAATCTGAAGGAGGAGTAAAAGAATCATCATCATCATCTTCTTCTTCACCTTCATCTTTTGCCTTCTCACCATCAACCACTTTTATAACTAAGAGTGAAAGGGTTCTCACACAAAGAGCCAAAATCCTTAATAATAATTTCTTTAAGAATCTTAACTTCCTGAGTGGCCTCAAGAATTAAAATCTAGAAAATCTCTTTAAGATATATTTTTTTCTTCTTAAGGATTCAACCAAAGCGTCTTCGTCTAGTATCTACTTATAAAGATGGATACTAACGTAGAATTGAGAACAAAAATGAGGGGCATCATGAACTTATTCATTTACATCTTATTGAGGACTCTAATAAGTCAAAAGTAATTGTACATAAAAAGTAGGATAATTAGAATAATCCAACTAAGAAATAATCACCTTCAAAAGAGAGTTTTGAAAATTGACAAAAATAAGTAAAAAATTTTGCAACTCAAAATAGGTGCGCGAGTTGTTTTGTGTTGGGGGTGCAAAATTAACTTCTGTCAAGTTATTGAACCACCGTAGTGTTGAATCCTTAGGGTAATCAATACAAAGAAGCATTTCATACTTCATGGGATCGTTTATTCTCAAAAAACCCATACCTGGCCTTAAGTGGACGTGTGTTCAGCAAGGTCAGATTTACCCATACAAGATTCTAAAGTGTTGAGTTAATGAAAATTTATTTTAAGTGTCAAGTTATTGAGCCACCGTAGTGTTGAGTCTTATGAATAAAAAGCAACACTTCATAGGAACATTATTCTCAATAAACCAATTGCTGGCCCAAATGGGATGTGTGTTCAACAAGGTCAGATTTAACCATGTACAATACTAAAGAAGAAACTTAAACATCTGGAGTGCCTATGCTGCAACAATTTCCCTAGACAAGACATTCTCCAATTGATGTCACCTCAGAGCTTCACTAGCCTTCTTCCCCTTCAAGAATCCAAAGGGGAGGAGCCCGTCCTATTAGGGTAGTATGCTTTATCATCGTCCGCTGGAGTAGACGGCGAGGTTCTCCTCATACCAGCAGCAGGTGCTCTCCTCCGCCATTCTGCCTATTCTGGACAGGAAGAGCACACCTTACTCTTAGTGTTACCCATATTGCTGCACTAATTTGTTCTTTAATTTTATTTATTTGCTGCGCCACAAACTTCTCAATGCATTCCATGTTCCTGTTAAATTCCATATTGCTTAGCTCTACTCTCTGCGCAACTCTTCTTATTGTGACATGCTTAATGCTTGTTGCACCTTCCAAATATTTTTGTCCTAATTTATCAGTGGATTCACACCACCAAGAAAGAACTAAGGAAAATTTTGAGCCAAAAGAGTGGGAAAATAAAAGAGAGAAAAAAGCCCTTCAATATTCGAAAATCCACCGATATTACATTGATCATTTCTATAATAGATGGGTTGGCTTAAATGTTAAAAACAGACGAGAACTCCAAAAGATCTTCGACCCATCCCTTGTCTTTAATTAATAGTATCTTGGTAATGCACTGCATTGAAAATTGTTCCTTATAAATGCCTACCTATAGATTTCACTTCTAACCATGCTCCTATTGCCAACTCGGCCATGGAGCGAGTTGGTCTCCTGGGCGAGTGGCTCCTTCGGCAGAGTTGCCAAACTGCTTAGTCGAGCATCTATGCGCTCATTATTATTGGCGAGCTATCTAAGTAAGATTCCTTGATTGAGTTACTTGGTCAAATGAATCTAGCCAAGCTATGTAGCAGCAACTTAACGAGACATCTAGCTTCAAACTTTGAAGCCTACTCTAGGGGATTTCACCGATACATTTAGAAACGATGTTTTCATTAGCATTTGTTTAAGCGAATAAAATTATCAGTTTGAGTTATTTTAAAGGTTTTTATAGAATTCCAAAACCCATATTATTTCCTCCTACATCCAAGCGAATGATATAATCTAGTAAAATCATCATTTTTGCAGAAATTGTTCTCTCTTTAAGCAATTTATCATCATATAATATCATAGTAAGAAAATATCATATATTATAATATTTTCTAAATAATTTATAATAGCAATTTCCACTTTTTATTATAATAATATCACTTTATTATTAAAGACGTTTGCTTTAATATATTATCTTTTATTGTTCTTCTCTCTTGTAACACAACAAAATGAGCAGTTAATTGTATTTTACTTTCGTATGACCTTTTTGTTTGTTACAAGGATGAATCGCAGTTTTGCTGGGTGATCACATAAACGATAATCCATTCCCTCCTTTTTATTATATCTAAATTATGCCGTCTTCGGAAGCAGGTATCTAGGAGCACATATGTTTAACTTAAGACTCTAATCATGATAGCATTCGTTCTGTAACATAGGTTAGTGCAGCAGTATCTACCATCTAGGGCATTAGATTTGTTTGAAGAATGCGCATACCATCAGCAGATGGCTTGCTTTTATTTAGGAAATGATTAAGAGTTTTCTCCCTCATGTTTTTTTTTTTAATTTATTTGAAGAGGCTCAAGAAAAGTTGTTTCATTTCATTTGAAGCTCAATGAAGAGGCAATGGGGAAAGTTTTGTTATTATGCCTGAATTTGAATCTTAACCTGCAGAGATTATTTTTCATTGAAGTTCTGAGAGTTTTACTCTTTTATTGAATAATATCATGATTTTTTTCATAAATTCAATAAATGTGTCTCTGCAAGCAACAAGAATGAGAAAATCAGGTTAACCAAGAAGAATAACAATACAACAACAACAAGCCTTCATCCCAATAAGTGGGGTCAGCTACATGAATCCTTATTCTCCATTGTGTCCTATTTAGTGTCATATTTTCATTTAATTCTAATAAATTAGGATTATTGCAGGTCTCACCTCAATCTTATAAAATTTTCCTTTGAAGTCTAAGCGGTACTTTTCTATCACACAATAGTCCCGATGCATTCCTCCACTTCAACCATCCAACTTGAATTCTAATACTAACATCCTCATCTATATCACCATCACTTCAAACAATAGACCCGAGATATCTCAAACGTTCACTCAATTTAATGACTTGATCACCCATTGTTAGAACCCCGCCCCTAGAACTACTGTTACTAAAATAATATTCCATGTATTCATTCAAATGTATTAATGATTAAAGCGTAAAAATGGTTGATCACTGATGTAATACTAGCTTTGGTTGAAGACATTGAACTTCGATTTCCAAGGGAAATTACGAATGTGGATTAGGTTTAGGACTAAATTGAGATAAATTTCACTCATCTTAATTGAATAAGCTTGACTGTATGTAATCAAGAGCCATTCAAAAGTGTTTTCCAAAGTGTAGCTCATAGAAATGGTTTACAAATCAATAATAAAACAGCATAACCTAAGCAAGAACGCATTGATTAATTGGCAATGATTACCCTTTTGGAATTGAATACAAACCATCAAAAAGATTCATTCATGATTCTGATCTTCTTAGTTAGTAGGAGACGAAGAAAGCCGCAAGCATTCATTTTGGCAACGTCGGAGGCAAACATCATTCCAGTGGGGAACTTGATTTTGATTGACACAAACCGTGCGTGCACAAGCATCGGTACAAGCATCAAGAAGAGAAACACCACAGACCGTAACACAAGTATCAGGGGTGGGATCTTTGGAGAAGGCACCAACTTTCTTCAACATTCTTTTTGAAGTGCAGACCCTCTCACAGACAAATATATCATCAGAGCTTTTCTCACGGCCACGAGCACTCTCGAGTCGTTTTTCTTCAGCTCTCCTCCTCTTGGCTCGAATGGCTTGTCCTGCAATAAGAGCTGGAATAGCAGCCCCGACTAAGGACCACCATACCTCCACCATTGCTGGCGCAAACCTGGGCTTCTGTATTTATAGCCCTTTCCCCCTACCAGTGTGGCAAAGAAACGAAAAAGGTGAATCAATGACCATCAGGTTGGGTATTAACAGGATAATTTAGGAACATGACCGGCATTTTTAACAAAAAAATAAGAATAGTACAACAACAACAACAACAACAACAACAACAAAGCCTTAATCCCACTACGTTGGGTCGGTTACATGAATCCTTTTTCTCCATTGCGTCCTATTTAGTATCATATTTTCATTTAGTTCTAGTAAATTAAGATCATTTTTAATACAATAAGCCCAAGTCTTCCTAGGTCTACCTCTGCTTTTCTTAACACAAGTCGAATTTAAAAAATAAGAATAGTACTACTTGTAAAATTAAATTCACAAAATTCCATCAACAAGAAGTCGGGTTCTGTAAGAATTTGAGATCTGCTCCAATTTAAGTTATTGAGACGCCTTTTTTTTTTTTGATATCAAGAGAAATCCCAAAGTTGGGTAACCATAAAAAATATATGTAGGTTTATTGAATAAAGAAAACACAGAGATGATTTCAGGTTGGAAAAATAAACACTAGAACAAATCTGGAGATATAAGATTTTAAGAAATTTACTAATGTGTCCGTTGTACTCGAAGCATGCAATATATTGCTTAAGAGCTTTAGATGACCGCACCCCTTAAATCTCAAACACTATGCTTAAACTGGAGTGCTCTTTGTGGGTTCACAAAATTCTATTTGATGAAATGCAATTTTTTAAGTACAGAGCCTCTAAACCTACATAAGAAAGATGGAGCCCAAGTTTTTAAACCCAATTTAATTGAATAGGTGTTCAAACATGCCCAAATTTGCTCAGCCACTACCAGATTGGCTTCAATAAGCCAAACAAAGTTTGAGCACACTTGAACTGACCGAATAAAAGGCCAAACAAAGTTTATTTGGCCTTAACCTCTCATTCCTAATGTGCGTGCACAGCACTTGCACAAGGAGGCATCAGCACATATCGCTACTGCTTTTGGCTACAGTCTGCACCCAACACAACCCCTCAGACGGGTCATGAATGAAAAGCAAGACAACGGCCTCAATTGCAATCTAATGAACTCATTTGCTAGCAAGAATTCAAATAACTTCATATCTTCTTTGAGTAAGTTTGTTTCAAAATCTCCTCCCAATGCCAGGAAAGGTCAAAAGTCCCTTTTTCTCAAAAGCAGAATAAATGTGCATGCATATATTCAAGGAAGAGCACATCCTCAAAGTTTCAAACTAAGCTGATATATAAAATTGTGAATTTTCAATTTATGCCGTGTGACTAGTCCCCACATCGGTTATTTTACACCGTCCATTCATCTATTGCAGTTGAAAGTCTGCTTGTACCATTCACAAATGGGTATGAGACCTATCAAAGACATTCAAAATGAAGTCAACTCATCAATCCTTGAAGTGGAGATGATTTTTAACCAGAGAAGCATACTATGGTCGGTAGCTCAATTGGTGACTCTATTCCACACTAGAAACCCAGATGGCTTCTTATTCTCACTAGCATGCCGCACACTATTTTGATGACTGCTTAGTTGTTAGTATACCTTAAAAGGATGGAGAAAGGAATGCTATTTGTTTCCAGAAAATGAAGACAGGAAAATTCTGCATCCAGTTGATGTAAGTAATTAAGTTTTTTGAGAGCAATCACAGGCTACTTAGACGATCAAATTTCTTTCTCAAAGTAGGGCTAAAAGAGTGCTGTTGATTCTGAACAACCCCAGAAACCTGCCCTTATAGTCACAGATGCAAAACCAATTGACAGAAACTGCAGACTTGACGTTATCAAGGTGACAAAAAGATTAGAGAAGAAAGAAGAACTGCCCATGAAGAGATCTGTTGAGAAGGCAGAGAAGAAAGGGAAAATTGATCTTTCATTGCAACAAATAAGAAAAAAATGTATACTACTGAACAAGAGCAAAGGGATACTAATCTTGAGGATGTTACATTCGTGTTGATGGAAGTGATCAAGAGGACCAAGAAGACCATGGAGATAAGAGAACTGATACCACTCGGAATCCACTTGGATAGAGTTCGACCAATAAAGTAAGCGGCATCAAAAGTAAAGTGGACTTATGTCATCAAAAGTAAAGCCGACTTATGTCAGAAACATCTGAGGCTATTGAGAGTATGGGAACAAAATTTCCCAGATAATAAAATTAAATAATCCAGTGGCCAAAGATGACAGGTCCTACACAGTAAGGACCCCACATGGACTATCCATAAGGAATCAACCAGTTGGGGCGTCAATAACATGCATACAAGCAGATCACGGCCTAATTGGGGGACTTCGAAGAACATCTGATCAACAGGATTGTCAGACATTATGAGAACCATTTGTCAAGCATAATGAACGCTAACCAATATATCAAATGTCATACCAACGACACTGAAGAAAATGAAATATGAGAGGTCTTAGGGCAAAGAGCAGCAGGTGATCCAAAAGATCAATAAGCTTTCAAAAGAGTCTGATGTAACGGTCAAAAACATGGAGCAAATGTCTGCTTGGGCGTTCAACATGATGAGACACTGAAAAAAATCCTAGATACAGAAAGGCAACTTTGGGGTGATATATATGGTAAAGTACTATTAACAAGCGAAAAAATATCCGGTGGATTGTTTTATACTAACAATAGGAGTGTAATGAAGAACAAAGAACAGGAAAACTTGTTATCGAAGTTGTTCCTGTGGTCAACTTTCAAAAATTTCAAAATTTTATTTAAATATAAAGTATATAGTTTAGATTATGAAAATAGTGTTTTAATTTTTTAGAAAATGAGACCGAATAGATCTCATTAGTCCAATAATTTGCGTAATCGTGTCTGAATACTATAAATTCCAAGAGATAAGTGTAGACCCCGACGATAGACACAGTCCTACAAATTAAGAAATTTGTGACATTTATTTGAACTGCGAACATTTTATATATGACCGACAAATTCTCCTATTTAATACAAAGATTAAATAGAGTTTATTTTACATGGGTTCCAAATTCTCTATAGAGGCAAACCCCTATAGTTAATTACATCCCAAATGATGGGAGTCACTTGAGAAAACTCTCGATAATGATCAGAAGTACTAGTCTTCAAAAATTCAAAGTTTAGGTTTTCACGGTAGGACGTGGAAAGACAAGTGGAAGTGGCTCAAATAGACACAATTATTTTCAGGAGTCCAAAAGAAGGAAAAGGTAGGGGATGTCAGAATCTGAGGAGAAAACCTGATTTTCCAAACTATCCTAATACGTGACTGAGTTTTAGAGACAATGTTATTTAGGTGTTTAATCCTACCAATTTTATTGTTTGAGACTTATATTTGCATAATATCTGATTATGCAAATAACTCGCAAAGATAAGAGGGTTTACGTCGTATCACACGACAACCTCGGAACCTAAGGCGGAACCTAAGGCGAACCTAAGGCGAGTTAGGACTTACGCTGCACAACATGGCTGTACAGAAACCTAAAGAGGGTGTGAGGATTTACGTCGTGCTAGGCGAACTACTTCGAAGCCCTATGAGTTGTTATTTAGAATAAAGAGAGAGATTGTTGTTGAAGATCCTCTTGTCGCTCGATCAAAGCTCCTCATCGTGCTGCCCACAAAGTTGGCTCCAAGCTGCTGTTGTAGCGATGACTCTAGGGTTTAAGTTTTTTAATGTGTCAAGTCATGATGTCAAATCAAATGTTTTCTAAGATTATGATCATTTAGGTGTTATGAGAAAAAGTTGATTAGAGCGACACCGGTTAGGATCTCACGGTTTCCTCGTTCTGATATCACTATTTTCTTTTAAATTTACTTAGCTTAAACGAATTATGAAATCCATTTAAATCGGAGAAATCTCGTTATCAACTGTGGGTTACCTCCTCCGATGAACTCCCGTAAATTCGAAAGAACGCGTTATGTTTCTTTTTTGAAAATGTTGTTTAATTTTAAAAAATCATTTTGTTTTGAAAGTGAAATTGTATTTGTATTTAATACATGCATAATGTGTTAGAGCAATAATAAATTGCAATGAAGAAACAAAAAAACAAATAAAATGTACCTGCGTACGTGGCGTATTTGCTGTTGTTATCCTTGTTGCATGCTTAACTCACAAAACACAATATAACTTGCAGGGAATTTAAATAAATTTCAGAGAAAAGAATAAAACAGTAAGCAGTAGAACAAGTCATAACAACAGTTAGGAACTCCAAACATGTGATTCTAAGGTTTCCTGCAACTCCTGACTGCAACTAGCGAGCTAGTACGGTGATCATGCGACCTCCTACGACTCTGAGCAACAACTAGCAAGTTTACGGTGATTCATATAACTCCGGACAGCAGCTAAGAACTTCAAACAACACCTGTATGGCTTCCTATGAACCCAAACAACAATGGATAACACCTATGCGACTTCCTATGAACCCAAACAGTGGTGGACATCACCTAGATGGCTTCTTACGAACCCAAACCGTGGTGGACAACACATAAATAGCTTTCTACGAACCCAAACAGTGGTGGGCAACACCTATATAGCTTCCTACGAACACAAATGACAGTGGGCAGCACTTAAATGACTTCCTACGAACCCAAACAGTGGTTTTGGAGCCTTGGACAGCAGCCTACAACATCCCTATACTCCAAACAGTGACTTTGGAGCCTTGAACAGCAGCCCACAACGTCCCTATACTCCAAACAACGACTTTGGAGCATTAGACAGTAGCCGACAGCGCCCCTATACTCCAAACATTGGCTTTGGAGCCTTGGACAGCAGCCTAGAGCGTCCCTATACTCCAAACAACGACTTTGGGGCCCTGGAAAGCAGTCTACAACGTCTCTATACTCCAAACAGTGGCTTTGGGGCCATGGACAGAGCGTCCCTATACTCCAAACAGCGACTTTGGGGCCTTGGATAGCAGCCTACAATATCCCTATACTCCAAACAGTGACTTTGGGGCCTTGGACAGCAGTTTTAAATAGCCCAAACAACAGAGGAAACCTCCTCAAAACAGACCCAAAAGACAATTTAAAAGTCCTGAAATCCCTCTTTAAAACAGTGATAAAACCTCCCCAGAATGGTACCGTTTATTCCTCAGGTATACTCTTGTCGATGTGGCACATATTTGAAAATCCATTCCATATTTGAAAATCCATTCGTCGATTTGAAAATCCATTCGTCGCGAAACTCTTTCCGCATATTTGTCCAGAATTAAAGTCAACGGCCAAAAAAAAAACCAAAAGAAAACACTATTTCGCCTAAGCCGATTGCTTCCAGTATTAATTGGAGCTCCATTCACAAAGAAAATGCTATAGCCCAAATATACACCCATTAGATACATACCCCAATATCCAAACATACTGAAAAGGCCTTCTTTATTTTGGCTAAAGATATTTGAAACACTTTGGCTGGGCAGCAAAAAGAAATTTACCCAACCCATATTTCAGGCTCAACGGACAAGCTATGAGAATAACCATGCCCAAATCTCCACAATATTTTGGATGGATCTGACTTATGGAAATTAATAGAGATACAGCTATAAGGATGAAAAAGTAATTTTAATGAACACCAAATTTTCCCACATGGACATGATATTCAACACCTGCTGTGAAAATAAGATGACCTGCACCAAGCAATACTACTGGACTTACGGACTGAAGAGCAATCTTCCAATTTCTTTAGCCTGTTTTGATATTAAAGAATTTGCCACCACAAACGACCTACACCAAGACCCATCAAACAAGTGCCATATGCCTCAGTTTTGGCCCAGTGTCTAAAAAAAAATTTAAAGTCAACTGCCAGAATGCATATGCATATTATTACTACCATGAAACACGGTACCATAAAATACTCATCCTAGAAGGCGATAAATTATGTTGTCCAATTTCATTTTTGAGGGTAAAACGGCTTGGTCTAAAGATGATCTTTTAACTGAGGTGCAGAAAAGCATCATAATTATCATGATAATAGCCAAAATATAAATCCATTCAGCAAGGATCTTGAAATTTTATCGACAGCGCAAACCCAAGTGAGTAGATGCGAGGGTGTCAAGCTGTAAGCAAGCGAACCATTGTTACGTCGTCTGCGAGAGGGAAGCAGGCAAGGGCTTCAGAGGGGGAACAGGCGAGAGAGTAGGGCTTCAACGTGAGGCAGGGGAGTTCAGTTGAGCACGAGTCTCCGTCGCAGAGAGTAGAAGCGAGCAGGAGCTTCGATCGGGAGCTGCGATCGAGTCGCAGAGGAGGAGCGAGATCGAAAGGAGCAGGCGTCGAGCGGGGATCTTTGGCGCAACAAGGAGTCAAGTGAGGGTTTCTGTCGAGCAGGGGAGACGAGCAGGACCTTCGTTCGGGAGAGCTGAGCGGAAGCGAGCGGGCAAGGGGTCTTCGGTCGAGTGAGAGCAGGGAGGCGAGGGTTTCTGTCGAGCGAGATCAAGCAGAGGAAAAGAGCGGGAGAGCCGAATGAAATCCGCGGAAGGCGAAGTCCGAGCGGGATCTTTATCCATCGAATTCCAAATAGTTGTTAAGCATGTGTTGGGCGGGGAATTAAATGGTTTCCATATGCAAGGAGGTTTAATTGGAAAGCATTAACACCTGAATATTTTTAATTAAGACAAATTTAAATAATTTGTTTGAATTTTGAAATTTGAATTTCAAATTCAGGTGAACTGATGCTTAGCTTGTGTTCAGCCCGAGTCCAGCCTGAATCGAACCCGAGTCGAACCTGGGTTGAGCCCGGGCCAACGCATCGCTAATAAATAAATAAATAAATAAATGTATCGATATCCGTGCTAGTCGCTCGCGCGCGAAATCATAACAATACGGGTGTCATTCCTAGCTAAAGTCGACGTACTGGACGCATCTGTGTGATCCGTTTCGTCATCCGGGGTTGTCCAGACGAGTTCGCCGACGGGCGAGTCGATTGAAGTCAAAATCGTGTGTGGTGTGATGTGTGTGCAAAATGTGGCGTTTGCGATGCTCGAGTGACAAATAGTTTACCTAGGGGGTGCTCCTATTAATATAGGTACTCGACTTGAGTTTCATGTGTCGGTTCTCATCAACCCAACGAAATGCCGAGGATTCGGGACCGCCCATACGAGACTCGAAGGAGAGACGAGGTGACTCAAATTTTCTAAAGGGTGTGAGTTCCATACTAGTCCTCTAGGAGGGTCAAACAAGGGAAGCCTAAAGCTAGACCCTATGTTCTAAGGAGAGAGGTGAAAACCTTATCCAAAAAATGAGGTCAACAATCCCGTTAAAGAGATAGCTTGCAAAAAGATCATGTAGGCAAGTAAGCTGAAATAATTGAGAAGTATAATTAATCTGAGCTACATTATGACAAAAGCTTAGCTAGAAGAGGCTACTAAATAGTCAAAAAATTGTGCTAGTATGCATAAAATTGTGGAGAAATGCTTGTTTAAAATGTATTCCTAAGAATTTTGTATAATGAGGGAAAGGCATAATCCTCAAGATTGCAAATGTATAAGTACTTCAAAGTGCAGCTTCATTTAAAATTTTCTTATTTTATTTTCTTCCTTCACTGTTTGTGGCATTTATTTAGAGAGAAGAGAGAGCATAATTATAAACTTCAAGAAGGTGGGATGGAGGAGAACCCCGAATGACAATTTCCAAATAAGGTTAAATAATGGAATAAAAAAACATAATATAAACAATATCAATGACATGGTAAATGTCTCCAACTTCAATACCTCCGCCAGCCATCTTCCTCTTGATGCGACTCAAAAAGCATAGAGGGAAGAATAATAACTTACGAGATAATTATGAGATTTGGTAAGGCAATGTGTAGGCAAAAGGCTTACAAGAAATTATGGAGCATATAAAATAGTGTCTACAGTTAACGAGCAATGATGGATAAATACGTTTTCAGAAATAGAATAGCAAGATCCATCAAAAACAATAACAAGTGAAAATGATAAGAGTTAAAGTTAATTGTTGGTTATCTATCATATTAGAGGATATACTAGGAATTCTATTCGCAGCCGAACCAAAGGAGGAAGTAGCATAAATAAATAATATATAAATAAATAAAGAGGATGGAGTACGCAAGGCTCAATTACTCAATTGATAAACTAAGAATTTCGAAGCATTCCATAATACACTTCTTGGGAAATAAAGATTGAACCAGAATGAGTACTCGTAGAATCGATCGGGGCAATGGAGGACAAATGAAGAGCTTTTGGAAAATAGTCAAAATATTCCAACAGTAGCTAGAAGAGTGATTTGTTTGTTGATAATGCTAACATTGAAGAAAAAATGTCATGGCCGCAATAACCTCATCCATGATTAGCACAACTACCCTTTGTTCCTATGGCAAGAATAGTATGATAATGATAAGAAGTTAGAGCATGTAAATCGATAAATGGGTGAACACATAAGACAATAATATAGATGTTGGGAAAGTGATTCATGCATCAATTGAGCTTGAATAGATTGTAGAGATGAATGAACATCAAAAAGAAGCTTAGCAACATAAAAACCACTTTTTTTTCCGTATTGATGGTAAGCAAACAATATTAAATAAATTCATCCTTTCAAGTAGCTATAATATTCAAAAGTACTTTTTTTAACATTTAAATAAAGAAAATATATTAAAATGGAGGGTATATAGCATTAAAATGATATTCTCCTGAAAATGGATAGAATGAAGAAATTTCTTGTCAGTTTAGCGGTCTCCTAAATTGTAATGATGAAAGAAATGATATGCTCAAGATTTTTGGTTATCCATATGAATAGTCAGAAAGTTGTCATTTGATGTAGTTAGGAGTGTTAATCGGTAAAGCCTGGATGTTTAAGTTTCTCATGAGATCCCACAAGAAAATAAATGATCTGAAAGCATGAAAGATAGTTGGTATCACTGAGTTTGATGGTAGTATTAATAGTACAGTACCTGAAGCACTATTGGCCAACACTACTAAAACAGAAGAGTGATAAATATAGAATCAATAAATAATAAATCAATGTGAGGTGATGTGTAGTGTGCACAAAGACGATCTAGAGAGTACAACAAACATATGAGCGAGAGCAACAGATGCTTGAACCAACAAAGGAGCATAGGAGTGTGAGAAGCAAGCATGCCAGTGAGTGCCTGGGTGGGAGTCTTGAGTCCTATAGCTACAAGTGACGAGACATGGAAGGAAGAAAAGAGAGGAGAAAGAGGGAAGGAACCTAATGGGGAGGAGGTAACTAAGAAAATAAATTACATTACTCTGAAAGCATATTAGAAAGAAAAATGTTGTCATTCATCTTTGACTAAATACAAGTGCCTACATATAGCAAAACCGCGAGAGAAGAAAAAGGAATAACTTGAAGAGAATGAATGTTACTACGAGAATAAGCTATTGTAATAAATCATCTTTCCAATTTAGCAATTTCATGTAATAACAATAACAACTTTCCAATCTAATCCTTCCCCACAACAATATAAAGTTGATGCCCCAACAAGTTTCCTTAAGCACGTAAGTAAAAATCTACAACTACCTAAGGATTTGTCTAACCTTTCTCATTTTCATGGTAAAATTTTCAAGCATCAACACTAGAGACTGTTTGGCAGCCCATTTTAAGCAGGATTTAAGCTAAATCCTGCCAAACGGCAAAAAAAGCCTCCGTAAATCCCATTTCTAAATGCTGTGAATCGGCGAATTTAGTAAATCTGGAAAGAGCGAAGAGAAAGAATGGGGCGAAGAGGCTTACCTTTCTCAAAGGTTTCTGGTAGGAGCGGAGTGGACGGATGAGAAAGATGGGAGATTCTGTATTTTCACTCGGAATAAATTAAGATGTAAGTAGTGAAACTTGCATTTGATGTCGTTCTGGTTTACTAGTCCTTAAGCTACACAGTAAGGAAGATGTTAGATCAGGGAAAATCCCCATTTGGGCAAGCTCTCTCGCCTGAACCCTATGGACAGTAGCAGACTTCTATTGCCGAAGAGAGAGGCGAGAGAGTTGATGTTGAGAAGAGTTGGAAAAATGTAGAGCTAGGGAAAAGCTTAGAGCATCATCGCACCTTCCTTTTCCGGCTTACAGAACTCGCCGGCGAAGACGGAAACCGACGCAGGCCCTTCTTGGTGCTCGTTCGCTCTGCACCGAGTTCCGCCTCACGGAAAAAATTTGTACATTGTACCGTGTAACTCCCTTATAAACTCATGTGTAAATCCCGTGCCCCTTATAAACTCATGTGTAAATCCGCATGTTTGTAACTCCTATATAACTCTCGTGTACACGCTTATAACTCCCATATAACTCCTGTGTACACTATTATGTACGCAGAGATGCGTACCCCTTGACGTACGCAAATTTTTTCCCCGCCTCACGGTCTAGAAATCTAAAATTCTTTCCCCCAACGCGGTCACTAGGGCTATGACGGCGCTGAGTAAAAGGAACACATGTTACATCACTCCGAATTTTGGAGCCAATGAGACAAAAAAAATAAAACAAAATTCGTTTTAGCATTTGATAACATTCTCTTCGTACTATTCTGTATTATTCTGATATTATTGTGATAGTATTTATGTGTTATTGTGTTCTAACAATATTCTCGGTGTTATAATAACACAATAATACATCAGTATCATCACAATAATACTTAAATAATGCAGAATAACATGTGAGGAATATTCCTGTGTTACCGGGTCAAATCACAGAAAAACGAGCACGTTTTCTTTTTTATTTTCTAAAAATTTGAGTGTAGGTCCTTGAAGCCACTTGTTCGCATATCAGTGGACTCTGAATACATCTATACGTTAGTAGTACTGATAGAATAATTTTTCTGAATAAAGAGAAGCTCTAGTTTAAGGCTGCAGATCTAATATTAGAAAGTAAATAGTTGTATGCATGAAGATAGAACACATGAATTTCAGCAATGGAATTTAAATTTTGATATAATTTTTATCTTGAAATTGACAAATTAAATCTCTAAGTAAATTTCGATTTGACTGTAAAAATTAAACTTAACACTCGAGGAAATAGTGAAAACTTTTACATGTTATAAAATATTTCTTTCTAAGAATATATTTTTAGGTGTTCAGTCAGTTGTGTACGAAAATATTTAGTTCTATGATTGGTTTTACAGTTGAAAACAAAATACGAAACAAATAAGTTTGTGACAGGGTTTGAGTTGATATAATTGCAGACAATGTTAGAAAGAGAATCATGCAGCAAAATAAATCGTCGAAATTACTTATTCTTGATACAAAATAATAATTACTGCTTGAAAATTGAGAAACTTTAATTTTGACTCGGATTTCTTTAGAGCTGACAACAGTTAAGCTCGAAATCAAAACGTTAACATCCTACTGAGACTGTTAGGACTGTCAAAGATCGATAATCGACGAATATTTATCAATATTTTATTTTTAATCTTGTTTGTCACCATAGCCACATTAACTCATTCACGAGTATATTTCGTTCATGTTTTCTTTATAAGTGTAAAGTCAGTGATCCGTATGGGGTTGTGATTGGTTTCTCACTTGGAGACAACATATGAAATAAATCTATCTGTGAGTTGGTCGGTGTAATTAGAGTGGCATACACTATTAGAGGGAGACGCCTTAACCAATTACGAGTCTCGACCATTTAAAAATCTTCGACATAACTAACATACTAAGATGTTAAATGATCCAACTTCGAATTGAAATGATGTAGGTTCCAAATAATTTAATATGTATGTTCCCAATAAATTTGATAAAAATTTTTGGCTCGTACCTTGCTGTGTTTATTTCAACTCTAGTTTCATGTGTGAGTCAAACTTAGAATCAATTTCCGAGTCGAAAAATTCCTTGCAAGGAGAGCTTCATCACCTGAAGGGAGCGGAGGCCAGTACTTGGAGCATTGATGACCAACTTTATATCTAGTTGATCGTCCTAGGTCGATCGACCTATTCTCCGGGCTCGATCGGCGTCCCTAGCCTAATCGCCCGATCTTTTGGGTTCGATTGACATCCCAATGTCTATCCCCCGCTTTAAATTTGATCAGTTATTTCGGCTCGATTGATTTATTTTTTGGGCGTGATCGACCACCATGCGTGATCGTCCAATCTTTTGGGGTCGATCGACCGCACTGACCCGATCGCTTAATCTTTTGGGTTTGATCGACCACCCTAGCTCGATCGCCCAATATTTTGGTTTTGATCGATCACACTGGTTCGATAACCCACTTTGGGTTTGATTGGCTGCCCCAACCTGATCTGCTGATCTTTTGGGTTCGATCGACCGCACTTGTTCAATCATTCATTTCGGTTTGGTTGGCCGCTCCGGCTCGATCGCCCAATCTTTTGGGTTGGATCGATCGCGCTGGTTCGATCACCCACTTTGGGTTCAATCATCCGCCTCGATCCGATCACCCATTATTTTGGGTTCGATCGACCACACTGGTTCGATCACCCACTTTAGGTTCGATCGATCATACCAGATCGATCAACCCACTTTTTTGGTTCGACCGACCGCCACAGCCTAGTCGACCGATTACTTGCATGCTTGTATGCTTTCTTGCAGTTGCATGTTTTCTTTGCATTTGTATGAAAATTCTTTTTGACTTAATGTCTATGATTTATTCATGTGTAAAATATTTTTGTCGTGTATGCTTTCCATGAGACATGTTTGGATGTCTCTATGAGCATCCATGCTTGTGGTGTCTCTTTGAGCGCCTACACTTGTAAGTGTCTTCCCCACATACAACATTGTATGTACAAAGATGAACACTTGCACGCTTTGGAAGGGGTTGGCTCACTTATAAGTCATTTATCTCACTCTCAACGACGCCACCTAAAATGTCGTAGATATTTCACATCATTTTGATTATGAGTTATGCTTCCCAGTCGCTGAACTTTTATGAGACACAATGTGTGTTCACTTAAATTTGTGATTCTCTCCTGTATGAATCATATGACTTAGTATGTTTGATATTTTTCATCTTTGCATGTTCGTCATTTGAGTGTCATTCACATGTCGTATGTTTGACATTTCTCATATGTCTGCTGCATTTTTGTATGTTGGATATGTTTCATTTGTCTTGTTGCATATCTCTTATGTTTGCATGTGTGCACGGTGATTGCCTATCAGGTAAGGTATAAATCCTCATTATATGTATCATTTTACTTGATGCAAACTCATTCATAGTCAGTGTATGCCTTTTGCATGACACTCCGAGTCCCCCAGGCAGATGTAATTTTTTTTCATAGGTAGCATGTTTTATCGGTACATCATGTTCTTGTGTGTCATGTTGCATGTAGGCATCCTTGCATACATTTGCATTATTTGTGTTTCACTCTTTTGGGCATCCATTGTGATTGTTTCATGCTTCAGTCGAACAATCACAATATGAGCTTCTTGCATGATTGTCGGCTTGACCATGTGCCTTGATGACTTTTCTTACTCGTTAGAAGAGTGACATGTTTGTTGGTCGTGATACTCAAACGAGCATTGCTTCTGAGGTTATCTCGGCGATCAATGCGAGTTTCTATATCACGAGCAACAAACAATATAATTGTGTTAAGGATGTAATGACTCAAAATTATAACACATGCGTCATGGACCCACATTGTATGGTCAGTTATTTTAAAGTATAAGAAATGATTATTTTTACTCTTTTATAAGTATTATCCACCTTACTTTAAAGTTTATATATGTTAGGCCATATATGAGACAACCACTTTTAAATGTCACCCCTTTATTATGACGTGCTTTAAATCCCTTGGATGACGGGGCCAGTATGACGATCTCATCAAAGTTATATGGTAACCAAACTTTACCCTACGCATTTAGATGTTGGTTAAGACACTTGTCGTTAGATGGTGTGTTAACCTAGGACTAGGATACTAGGTAGTATCTTTGACGCCTCTGAATATAGTTTTCTATTGGTTTGTTTGTTCTAGCAAGCATCACTTTTATGTTTTTGGTATGCTTTTGTTTGTGCCAATTTTTGATATGCATGGTAGTATTAGGTCGCTCTTCGGCAGGGAGTCATGTCATATATATGCACGCACACATGTATAATAAAAAAGGTGGGTTGCATGCGATGGTTTACGTGCTGACTTTAGCTTGCATGTGTCACTTAGCTCCCCCACCAGGCATGGCTCATTTATGTTGCATGTAAGTAGATTTTTGTGCTAACTTTATTTCGTGCATGTCGAGTCCTTTTTTTTTATTTTTCAATATACTTTTTAGAGTCCTTAAGAGAGTCATATAGCAAAAATAAGATACGAGCATGCGTTTCGAGACTTTTTAATGAGGGAATCATGTAGCGGGGAAAAGGAGTAGCAACTCGTGTCCCGCATCTTAATTTCATATTTGATATTAATGTATAGAATTATGACCGGACATATATATGTGGAGTTCGACTGCTCTTTTTCTTTTACGGGATATGTCGCAGACCCAACAGCACTAACATTTCTTATTATTTTATTTGGCTTGATTTATAATCTTTCTTGCATGCTTGGTTGCTTTGTTGTTTCACCATTTTTCATGTGTTGTTTGTCTGGGAATGTGAAGATATAATTTTGGCTATTTAGGATTTAAAATTCTAAATTTGCTACAAAATCATAATAAAACATTCAAGATAATGAAAAGTTTAGGATTAAAATATTTAAAACTTTAAAAATAACACTTTTATTTTTTCTGCTTGACCTTCGTACCAAAATTTAAATAGGCTAAATGCATGACTATCACCCCCGTCATATTTAATAGAGTCTCCATATTATGATTGATTAGTTTACCACATCATATTGCAAGTCTTGAGGAGAAGCATCCATGCTTCTCCAACCTAATTGACCCAGCATAGATTTCTAGTTAGATGGTTGTTTAGTACGTTTAGGGTGTTAGAAGCCCTCGACCTAGATGGGTGCAAGTTCTTTTGTTGACAACGTTTTCGGCTTTGTAGCTGAACCTCCCTTTCTCTTCCTTTCCCACGGCATCCTTGCCATTTCATTAGTTATATGTCCCATCTCTTGGAACTCCACATGATAGTCATAGGATAGAGTTTTGTTTCTTTGACTTAGAGCTATTGAGGTCCTCTTGGATGACACAATTCATAGATTGCTGATCGAGGATCTCTAGACGTGTTGGGTCAACTACCTATAAAACTAGATAGACTTAAGATACTAGTGGCTTGAGATGACGAGTTTGTAGTACTTCTACCAGAATATTTCTATCTTTTAGGACCACTCTACCCTTCCAATTGCTCAGCCTCTTTGAGCCCCGTCGATCCTTTAACTTTGTTGATATAATCTTGACAAATCGATTATTAATGAGCCGTCGCCCATTTGGGATACAGTGATTCACCATCTACCCTTATGTCCTGACGAGCTCTGACGTATAGAGATATCCCCATTGAGGTGATTTTGGTTATTTCGTATGCTTTGCATGCCGATGAGTATATGCCCATTTGGGGTGTGAGACACTCACTCTCTATCCCATGGCTTAGCGAGAGCTTTCAAAGCATTGGGGCGTCCCCATGCAAAATAACCATCATTTGATGGCCTATCCTCCAGGATCATGATAATATACGTGAAACTCATTTTATCGAGAGTATTCTTGGGTATCCCCACGATGTAATTAACAAGAGGGATACATTTCTCTATGAGACTATTGACCAAAAAAAAAATGTTCTTTTTAGTTCTCTCATTACGAGTGACTTATGCAGAGATTCTCTTTGTGGATGTTGTGTTTCGAGGTACATCGATCCAATTCTGTTCGAACGTATACTCTCAACCATCACATGAGAATTATCCATATAAAAACTTTCCGCTTGTTTCTTTTTATTTGTTTGTCTATTTATTGTCGTATATCCTTCTTTTTGATTCATCTCCCCTTCAAATCATTTATATGATTTAGAAGAGAGATTTACTTAGAAATGAGAATTATGAATAAGAGAATTATACAATGAGATATAAATAGATAAGCTGACAACTCCAAATCTTTAAAAAGAATCGAGAAATTGCATGCACAAATTCCTCAACACCAGCCAAAAACTCCTCAGTAAGTTATTTTCTTCCTGGATATAATCTGTTATACATCCACGATCTCATGTTTCACATATGCATCATAAATGTAGCTCTATAAATTAGTAAAACATCATTGCGTCCTACTTAGTGTCATATTTTTCATTTAAATCTAATAGATTGAGATTTTTTTTATATAACATGACTTGATCTTTTTAGGTGTACTTCTACCATTCTTAACTCATTTACATAAATAACACAAAATTCTTTGAACATTAAACCAGTAAAAAAGGGACCAAAATCCTTATGTCTTTTGTGGACCAAAATCCTAAGCTCTAAACACTTAAATATTAAATACTAAACTAAAATCTATGTAACATCGATTTTGTATATAATCTTCACATTGGGGATGGCAACACGACACCAAATTAATAGCATAATGACACTACACTACAAAACTATGCGAAGTGAATACGCAAAATCCTAAGTCTTAAACCTTAAAACATTAAATCATTATTACTTAAACCTTAAACCATAAATTATAAGCTTTAAAAAGATAAATAAAAAAATCCTTAAATCTTGAAAATTAAACACTAAACTTAAGCCCCATCTTTAAATCCCTAAATCCTAAACATAAAAAAAAAATTCCTACACCCCTAACTCAAAACCATAAACCATAAATCTTTAACACAAGTATTAAACCCATAACCATAAATCATGAAACTAAATCCTAAACCTTAAACCATCAAACCAAACCAAATTTTTGGTGTATTTACATACATAGCACAAAATCCTTATGTATTTAGGCACATAGCACATATCACAAAATTCTAATGTAATTAAGCACAAAATTTTTATGTATTTACATTCTCACACTTAAACTTCTATATTTACGCACATAATACTCAAATCCTTAAGTTTTTTGGGGCATATACAAACATAACGCAAACTTCTTATGTATTTGCATATCTCACATCTAAACTTTCATATTTAAGCACATAACTCTCAAATCTTATGTAAAACATTCTAATCCCAATGCATTGCATATCTAACAAAGAAATACGAAAAAAAATTGAGCAGTGCCTTTGTATTTTTGGATCTAACACTTATGCATTGCAAATCTAACAAAGAAAAAAATGAAAACTTATGTAAAAGCATCTAAACCCTATTCATTTCTAACAAAAAATATGAATGAAATTTGAGCGGTGTCTATGTATTTTCGGATCTAACACCCATGTGTTGCAAATCTAACAAAAAAACATGAAAACTTATGTAAAACCAAAGCTTAGAGGTGTGGATGTTGGTTTCTCACATTGGACGAAGTTTGAGTGGTGAAAACGAGCTGAAAATGCTGGAAACCAAGGTGGGAGACGAAAGAGCACTGGAGGAGACAAATCTGCGAGGGGGAAGAAGATAGAATGGAGTGTCGGCCGTACGATTTTTAGGTTGTTAGTGTCTGCTAATTCCGATGCTAACAAGTATGATTAGCATCGCCCTATGTTGGTGCTAATTCGACGCTGCTGCGTCGAATTTACGTCTGCAGCTTGATGCTACTCTTTTATGTCGATTCTTTTATTCTTAAAATTGTGCGTGCGGGACACTACACTGATATTAATTTTACATCAAAGTTTGTTTGACACTAATCCTGAAACTAATACACAATTTTTCTATAGTGAATCTCATGGATTCCCCACAGGCTCATCACCAGAGATCTAGGATCGACGACCAGGCTAGATCAGTCAATCGAGACCCGTACCGACCAAGCTTTAGAGGTCAGATATGTAAATACATAGGAGTTGTGTGTGGTATGTATGTTGAAGTTTTCCAAGAAAAATAAGAAAGAGCACATGCCTCTAAAGGTCTTTGTTATTAAAATACATTATATTATACATACGTACATAAATAGAACTGGGCAAATACAATGAACTTGGCACATACAATGAACTTGGCCATTTTTCTGTTGGGTTGTTTTTGTTTGAAGAGCAAGGAATAAAGCCCTAAAGTGGTCACGAAAGCCATCTGCTTTCATGGTCACATAAGGAGTAGAGAGAATCCTTTTATACAGCCCATCAAAGCTTAAGGCCGGAGCTAATTAAAGACTAACATCAAAGTTTTTATAAGTGTTGATTAACAAAATAGAGGTATTAATTACCCCTTTCTTCACCTGACCCTGAAACATGGGCAAGTTCATTGAATGAAATCAAACTATAAATAGGAGGAATGAGGGGTGGAGTTGCTCAAAATAAATAAAAAATGCAGAAATAGAAAATAAGGAAATAGCAGTCTCTGAGGTGATGATGGTTGAGTGGTCTCTTGAGTTCCCTTAAACACTTCACTGGAGTTCATTTGACTAAAATATGAAACACAACAGCCAATGAAGTGTTTGGGGGAACTCTAGCTGCCACCCAACATTTATAATATATGTGCATGCATTTATTTGTCTTTTCACTATTTATTACTATATACTAACTTGTATATTGGGTCTACTTTTATAGGGCCTTATTTCAGATTTAAATTCCATAGCTCATATGTAGATCTTTTTTTATCTATAAATTATAACTAAAAGCTGTACGCACTTTTGTAATTTGAAATAAAAGCATGCAAATAATCAATTAAAAATGTGACAGCCACCAAAAATATTAAATAATGAATTGTATGATTGAATATATTTATATAATGAGGGACAAATTCAAAAGGTTATGAATGATAAAAAAGTTTTTGCAAATATTAAACTTTAAACTCCCATCTCTATTTCATGGATTTGTTTATTTGTAATTAATTCTAAAGTCCTATAAAAAAATAAATGATATAATATTTCTTAAAATGTTTTTTGACTCATAATGGCTATCATATTTAAAATGAGAGAGTCATTCCTGCAATGCCATAAATCAGATTTCACGGATTTTGACTGTAAATCCTGGGCTTCAGATTTAAAGCAGAGTTTGATAACTGTTGTGATGCAGCTCGTTAATTGTCAAAACAGTCCCACAGGATTTATTAAATTAAATCCATTGCCCAATTTTTCCGGATTTAACCCCTAATAATTTTTAAATGTCTCATATGTGAAAAAAAAAATATTATATATTTGCACGTCCGGACAGCCAACCTTCGGGTATTTACCCGATCGTCTCCTCTCGCCGTCCAAACTGGTGATCCGTCGCTCTACAAACCCATAAGCGTCGAGGGTCGCCGGCAACGACGGTGGCGATATAACTGTACGACATTGATTCTAAATCTAATTTGTCGAAAGCGGATTTGTCGCCTTTCTTTTGTCCCGGATACACTTGTGCGGTTATGTTTCGACTTGCCACCGCCCACCGTCAAGTGGCTCCGGTTCTCCAGTAGAGCTCGCCTATTGATTGTTTTCTTTCGTCCATTCAGTTTCTTCTCAGCAATTGGTAAATTCATTCTTCTGTCTCGTCCTGTTGCACCTGCCTCTACCTAAAAAATGCACGCATGGTGTTTGACGAATTGCTTCCCCGAGCTCAACTTACAATTTATTGGAGATGTTCACCTAACCATGCCATTTGAAGTATTTTTATTTTATTATCATTATTTGCAATGTGTGCAAACAATCATCATTGTTTTGAATTTCAGCTGGTTTTCTAATCTTCCACAGTCATAAGTACTCTACACTGTTTAAAGTATTCGAGAAATGCATTGGGTTTACGGGCGGTCTCTTTGGTGTCTGTTGCTCTTCCTTGGTGTCTCAGTCAGGTGGCGTCTTTACGAGAACCTAATTCCTATGCTTTGTAGGTAGCACACCAGCTTCAGTTTGCAAACTAAGCTCCAAGTTACAGGAAGTAGGATTTGAAATTTATGCTTTATGATCTGCCAAAGGAAGTTTGCATCACTTGAAGCTTACAAGAGCCCTGCTCACACTAATCAGCTGCCTCTACTTCAGACTTTATCCTTTCTTATTAAACATTTTATCTTTTCCTTTTTATCTTCTTTAGCAAGATTTTCCCTGTTTTAGAGTTTGCAATGATAACTTTCTTCATTTTATTTTTAATATTATAATTGCACGTGTATTTGACCAACCGTAGCTACTTGCATTTGGGCAGAAGGCTAAAATGCTAGTATTTTTATCTATTGTTTTTACTTTTCATCAGTCTTTTTTTATGTATTAACTATAATTCTATTCTTTAATCGGCAATTTTATTTTTTTAATATTAGCGTGTACATCACTGGTTGATGTCCTCTGTTGTCTTTAGAGTTCAAATGTAATCAAAATATGCATGTATTACTGTACATATTTATACTGCTAGTTTGATTTACTTTTCCAAAAATTGCAATTTCATCAGCATACCATTAAGTTTTGGAAAAAAGATGAATTAAATTTCATTGTTTTGCTGATTTTTTAGTCTCCCAGAGAAACGTTTTAAAATTATGATGTGACGCAGATTTTATTTTAAATAAGGTATGCTTTTGGGAAGAACAACACAGCGTTTGCAATTATCTCACATTATGATGAAGATTTTGCAATTTCAAATCAATTCATCAGCTCCATCCAACTCCCAAAAGAGAATGCTCCTCAGTAAAGTTATAAGGGAGTATATGGATAAGGAGGAAGAGGAGGAAGAGGGGGGAGAAGGACTTTACAATGATGTTCCAAGGCCCCAGAAAAAATGGGAGAGGAAGCCATATGCAACCCCCATGAAAGTGCTTATCCATAGGGCAAAGGAAGAGAAGAAAGCCAGACAAGAAAAGCCTTGTCAGATCATTGAACATGCTCCAGAGAATGGTCTCCTTGTTCCCGAACTTATTGAAGTGGCCCATCAAGTCCACCGTGACAGGATTTCCCTGCTACATGGTCTCTCCAAGCTAATTGAAGGTTATCCAGCTATCCCAGTTCATAGATGCAGGTGATTTGATTTTCTTAAACCCATTATGCAACTTCAACGCTTTAATGGTCATGCTAGTTACTTGAGTTTGCCAGGTTTTGTTCCGAACTGCATGTTGGCTGGCATGGTCATGAAATAAGGACCTGTCAAGGCCCTGGCAGTGGTTCTAGGAACTCTTACCATGTCTGGAGAAAAGGAGGGGTTAAAGATATTCTTGGATTTGCGTATTGTTACCACCTTTTTGATAGAGTGGGAAAGCCGCGAGTAGGACACAAGGAGAGGCTCAACGTTCCAAGGCTTCCAGCCATAATGGAACTGTGCGTCCAAGCTGGTCTTAACCTTGATGATTACCCAACCAAACGAAGAACTGTACCAGTGTACTCAATTGAAGGAAGGATTGTTGACTTCGAGGCACACAAAGAAGAGGGTGCCAATGTAGATCATCTACCTGTTCCAGTAAGCTTTTCTGACTCTACTTTTGAGGAGGAAGAGAATATGAATTTAAATGAATTGGCTACCAAAACACTAAGCTCCTGGCTGGACTTGAGAGCTGGAGCAATGAAGATGATGAAGAAGTATAATGTGGTGACCTGTGGATACTGCCCTGAAGTTCAAGTTGGACCAAAGGGACACAAGGTGAGGATGTGCAAAGCTGCAAAGCATCAGTTTCGAGATGGACAACACGCATGGCAGGAAGCCACTATTGATGATTTGATCAGCCCAAACTTTGTGTGGCATGTAAGAAACCCAGAAGGACCTCCATTGGCTAATGTGCTCAAGAGGTACTATGGGAAGGCTCCTGCGGTTGTGGAGCTATGCATTCAGGCCGGCGCACCCATACTCAAAGAGTATACGAGTATGATGAGATTGGACGTTGTTCTCCCTGATCTTGATGAATATGATCTTGTTTCCTGATGATGAGCATTACTAAAAGAATAAATCTTCCATCCTATGTAATCTTATATCATTCATCTGTTAATACTAGCTATTCCTGTTAAACTAATAGCAATACATTCTTTTCCTTTTTCCTTCCTAGTTGAAACTTGTTCCTAAAGCTGAAATTATCATTCGCTGTGGCCTCATATTTTAAGTTGTTCGTCACAGAAGAGTGGAGTGATATAAACTAATGCCGGATTTGAATGATCATTTATTAAACCATTACTAATAAATGAGTATTTATCAAGCTTTTAAATCTTATCACTGCAACTCCATTAATTGTGGAACCCTGTTTCCTACCATTTTACTGAAAATAAGTCATTTGGAAAGAAATCAAAACATTTCAATAGCTTAATATATGCAACTCTAGCAGCATATAGTGTTGCCACAAAACACTAAGCTGCATCACACCAGTTTAATGTAGGATACAACCAGCTTCAATTGTGTAAAAATCATATAAATGAGAAACATGTCTAAAAAACTTAAATCATTGATACCCTCTTATATATTTTCCATAACAGAGTAGTGTTTTTAGCATTCAAAATCTGATTCAGCCATAAACGACCAAGAATTCCTATGATTAAAAAAAAATCAACTGGTAGGAAATGAGCACTAGCTGTTTACTATTGTCATGTCACAGAAGATGATTTACACGGTGTTTCATTCAACGCACCGGTGTTGTTGGCTTTGGGAATGGTAAGGGTACAGCAGCATCAGTAGCTGCATCTGGCATCTGAACAGAAGTTCGATACCTTGCTGGCAATTTCACTCTGGCTTCTATTTGCACAACTTTTGGTCCATCTTTCCCATCTTGCAATGTTTGTAACGAGGCAAGGACTTCCCTCATTCGCGGACGCTGCTTGGCTTCATGACTGATGCACTGCAGAGCAAGATTAGCAATGGTGTAGGCACCTTTCTTGGGGTACTGTCCCTCCAATTTTGTGTCCATGATTCGGAATAGTTTGCGCTTGTCTATAAGATAAGGTTTTGCCCAATCCACGAGATTCTGCTCGATGCCCACTTTGTTCTTGTCAAAAGCCCGGCGTCCAGATAACAATTCTAGTAGAACGACACCGAAGCTATAGACATCTGCCCTCGCTGTGAGTCTGCCTGTTAAAACGAGTTGAAGCTTCAAACTGCGAGGTCTTTTGGAGAACTTGTCTTACGCGTGTTGTGTTGATTCAATCATCAAAAGCAAACGAAATAGGAAAAAAAAGATCACCACACAAAATACAAGAAGAATTTTATACATGTTTATTCAATTGATAGTTATGTCCCGTTGCTGTTGTGACAGATTTCACTAAGTTTTGATTGAGTTTTACAACAGTCCAACTCTAATCAAGAGGTAAAACCATAAGCACACACCTTTATATAGAAAGAACATAACACACCAAGTCAATGTACGCTGAGTTTGCACAAGGTATTTATTTACTTATAGTGCAAAAGTTAGGCTCCGTAACTTAACATGATGTAACCTCTTAAGTTTGCATATCAATTGCTAGCATAGGGCGACACGAACTAGGACTTAAAAGAACTCTGTGCAGCATACATTCACATAAAAGAAAAAATGAAATATAATTGTGGTCCAAAAGCTTGACAGTGAATCTTGGAACAGTTACATAAATGAGAACTAACATGATAGGAAGACCTCACAATGTTGTATGCTTTTCAAGTAATATGAGCTTCGCAAGTTCAAGTTGGAAAATGATTCATCTATTTGAAAATGGAAATAACAATTATTGATGAACATTCTTGTAGAATGAGGAGAAACTCAAAATTCAACTACTTGTATGTCTGCAATAAACGCACAAGCCAGATTCACAAACTTAATACCCGCTTTACTACTTTAAAAACAAACATTCAATTTCATCCATTGAAAACTCAGGCACAATATCATGGTTTAGACCTAAAATCATTGGAAAGGTGCCCAAGAAAGGCATATGGGATCTTTACCTGCAAAATTAAAAGAAGGTTTCCTATTCAATTCTAGCCTTCATTAACAATAATGAATAGCGGAAATGTGTTGGCAAAAGAGTTCAGAAATAAGAACAGGTCGAGGTTTCAATACAAGTCATTTAAACGTGCAAAATAAAAAGGTTCAATAGTAAATCTTAATAATATAGATAAAATATACTGAAAGTCAAAGTTCAATATTCAGCTTTTGCCCCATTCTCCCATAATCCAAATGGATTTGCAACAGCACACAACTCTATAAATAAAAAATAGAAAAGAAAAGTGATCCCAAAAAGCCCCTAAAGAAATAATGCTCCTTCTCAAGGAAATTGAATATCTGCATGCTTTTAGAAACATGTTTTATTTATGAATGCATTACATCAATACATTTTTTTTTAATTTCCAAGTGTTTATAAATATGAAATTTACAGTATATGCTAAATTACTAACCTGTGGCAATATACTCGGGTGCAGCATAACCTTGAGTGCCCATCACTTGGGTGGTAACATGGGTTCTATCTCCAGTTGGGCCAGCTTTCGCAAGTCCAAAGTCTGAAAGCTTAGCATTGAATTCCTGCATTTAAAAAAAATCAATATATCAATTAGCTAACTGATTTTACCCTGAAATATAAGTATAATATCGGCTTGCTGTGTTAAACTTACTGAGTCTAGAAGAATGTTTGACGCCTTAACATCCCTATATATGACTTGGGATTCAGAATCATGTAAAAAGGAGAGACCTCTGGCAGCTCCCACTGCGACCTTAATCCTTATTGTCCAAGAAAGTGGTTCAGCACTCCCTATAATTGAGGGAGATAGAGCACTAATTAATTCTAGATAGCACAAGAAATATGCTACATTAAGAAGAATTAAACTTTTTGTCCAGCTAAATGAGCTTTGCTCATTCCATTCAATAACAACCCCTTATAATAGTTTTTCATAAGTTGCAAATTCATATATGTCCTTGTATGTCCATTCAAATTTATCATCATTGTTCCATGTGTTATTCTACTAAAAAAGTTCTTAGATAATAGACGATTCCCAAGTTGCAAAACCTAAACCTCTGGCAGCTTCCACTTACTCCTAAATAGATGATTCTCAAGGCTTCCTCTTGGCATGAATTCGTAAACCAGCAGCCTATCATCGCCTTCTGAGCAGTACCCAATTAGCTTAACCAGGTTTGGATGATGAAGTCGTCCAAGATGATCAACCTCAGTCTGCATTAATTGTGTACAAGCAAAATTACAATAAAAACTATGGAATGAAACAAACAATCGTCATGTTTAATTAAACAAGTGAAACTAATAAGCAGAGAATATCAGTAGGAATCATGCCAGCCATTCTTTGTGGCCCTGGAAGCCTTCTGGTTTCAGTTTCTTGACAGCAACAATCCTGCCAACTCCAGGCTTGGATGCAGCCAGGCTTTGTTCATCAATCCAACCTTTGTAGACATAGCCAAATCCTCCTTCCCCAAGGAGACTATCAGGCCGAAAATTTCTAGTGGCATTTTTTAATTCATTGAATGTGAAGTCCTTCAAATTCGAAGATGCTAAGATCTCTCCTTCAGTTCGAGGCGTAATAAGAACTTCAGAAGCAGGCTTTTCGCTAAATGAGGACGCGGTGAGGTTTGAAGGAGTTGAACAGGTTAAGGTGGAAGGGACTGTGCCTAAACTTATCTTGGTGATGGTTTTTGGCTGGCCTGCACATAAATCATACTGAATAGAAATTTGCCAAAAACTAACAACAGAAGCTTAAAACAAGAATTTAAACAATTATATGGGCTGTCGTATACTTTATAATCATAACGGAAATACCACAAACAAAAGTTGTGAATGTGCTAAAATTGTATATTTTGAGGATGTCTAATCATGAACTCTTTCTGGAGGAATGTTTACGTGCTAAAGTATTCACTTACAGATGCTTTTGGATGGATAATAAGCATCATTTAAATATAATTATCAGGCCTGATATGTCATATGGGAAGGAATTTATAGTTGCAGACCAATCTGAAAAGAAAAACTTTATGATTTCAAAATGGAATCAAATTTCATACAATATAGATATCACTAGCACAAATAAACTCTAAAATAAAGTAAATCAATCCATCATAACCCTACAAACAAGCCATAAATTCTAAATCTTGTTTCTGGATCAGTAATCTCAATCTGATGCCGCCGACTTCTTCCGACCTCAGAAGAATCCCAAATCACAGCCACATCATAAAATGATGAATAATTATTACAATATAAGAGTTGCTCCTTCTCAGCAAAAGGAATAATGATATAATCCACAAATTTAAAGCTAACAGAAGATCAACGAATTAATCTCATATCTCTACTAATCCAAGCGGCAAAGAAAGAAATGTTTCGAGACCTTCTTACTTAACCCAAATCTAAAAGGGAAACTTCCAAATTATAGGCAACGTATAGTGGTATAAACAAAAATCAGCACTTTGAATATAAAATTAGTCCAGACAAAATCAGTGAATGGGAACTTAAACAAAAAAGTTAAGAAACCTGAAGTATGCTGGGAGCTTCGAGCACTGCCGACCCTGGAAGCATGGCTGATGCAGTTTCCCATAGCCTCCTCGTACAGTAAGGCCACCTTCAAAGATTGTTCGACACCGGCATGGGTTTTGTTTAGAGGGCGAGATGAAGAAAGCTATAAGGAAAAAAATCGAAATTTGCGGCCGGACTATCCCCCTTTTAGCGGTTTCTTTCTCAGATTCAAAACCAGTGGAAAAAGTGGTACGAAGGCCAGAGGAGAGCAAGCGAAAAGTCTAGCCGTAGGAAAGAGAGAGGTGGAGAGGAAAATGCAGAGTAGAGATTAATAAATGGGCAGAAGAGTCACTCTGCACTTTCGAAGAAGCAGCACACGATAGACATGTGTTTTCAGTTTTTTTAGTTTTTTGATTCCGTAATGTGATTTTTTAAGAAAAGTACCCCTCTGAAAAATAAATAAAAAATCTTTTCACTCCCTAGAACTTGTTGGCCATGCTTCCGGAAGCTGACCTTTTTATGGTAAGCTATGAAAACTTAACAGTATATTTGAACTTGTATCCCTTGTAAATAGCTTAAATGACGGGCCCTGATCAATGATCAATGAATGCACTTTTCTTTTTAAAAAATAGATATCAGATTTCACTGACTGGTGAGGGACTTTATATGGGTCCTCATTTGAATTGAATTGTCTAATTCACCTCTATGGTGTTTCATTGAGACTTTTATATCTATAATTGCTTTTAAAATTGATATCTCCCTCACGGTTGGTCGTTTAACTAACAATATATCTCATCAAGTCTTTGCAAGAGTTAAATTAAGTTTTTCTTCCTAATTTTATTTCAATTACATGAAATTAGAAAGTCTATAGTCAATCTATTATTTATGAGTGGAGGAATCCCACATTTTGTAAGGATTGTACTATTTTTGTTATAGAACCATCTGATTATCTTAAAAATTTTGTTTGTCAAGCATCTTGACCAATCGTTTACTCCTATCATTAGATGCAAAATTAGAAGTAGAAGTAGGAACATAAGTGAGCAAGGTTTACTCAAAAGGGAGAGCTCTAAGGTGGTTACCCTCTCCTCTACTATTGTTAACCTACTCATGATCTAAATATCTCATCTTCTCCTTCCTCTGGAAATATAAATGTTTCTCTCAAAGGTTTTTCCTAGTTATTTCTTGGATAAAGCCTCTGAGAGCGATCCCTTAATCCTATAAGTCTAACGACTAGAACTAGCATTCAACTTTAATCTGCTCTCTTCTTCATCTAAATTTCTTTTCCCATGTCACGATAGCAATATCCATGACTCCAATGACATTTCAATGGAAAAGAAGATCAATTTTGAGGCTAATAATATTGAAAAATCATTGATATTATCTTCATTCCACAAGAGCAAGAAAATCAAATTGGAAAAGAACCAATTTTCTTAAAACCACTCTTCTCAATCCCAATCATTGTTTATGTTTTACATGTTTACAATAACTTAGAATGATTGAGGTTTAAAAGGAGATTTTCATTTCTCTAAGTGCAAGTATCTGCCAAATGACATAAAAATTTAGATCTATTGTCTCTTTGAAACCAAAGTAGTTCTTCCTCCCCTTTCAAAATTTTTTTTTTCTAAAATCTAGTGAGAGGTTGCTAAGATGAATTTCATGGTTATTGTCACTTATATCAAATATGTTCATTTGATTGGATTCTTCCTTTTTGTTAAACTCTTAAGGCATTTACATGCCTACCGCATGATTTTTATGTATTTACATATCTCACACCTAAGCTTCCATATTTACAAACTTAGCAATCAAATCTTTAATATCACAACCACAATAGTACTATTACCACTTTTTTAAAGTGAAATCTCATTTATAGGTTTAAACCACCAAAATGCTATGTATGCAAATATAAAAGTTAGTGTGACATATGTAAATACATAATAATTTTGTGCTATGCATGTATATTTTCCTAAATTTTTTATCAAGGTAATTTATGTTGGGAATGGTGCAATTGAGTGAAGGGATATATGGAATTTTATTTTTGATTTGGCTCCCTTTTTTAATACAACATGGATGATTTGAGGGTATTTTAATAGCATTGCAAATTTTGAGGATGTGTAAAATGTCCTATACCACTCCTTGGAAGCTTATTATATAAACCCTTTTATTATAAACATTGGCTATAAAACACCCCCTTAACTCATTTTATAGTTCTTCCTTCTTTCTTATATTTATTGTGCATATGGGCCACTTCCTCAATCGGAGGGACATATTTCCATATAAAATTATTGAAACTCATGCCCTGATTTTATGAAGATAATATATGCTTAGTGCTCAAGCGCATAACAAATTGGTTATAAACAAAGCGAAGAATCCAAAGATGTTGGGTTTGTGTGCTCACTCTGCTTGAAAAAACAAGCTACTTAATAATATTTATTATTAATAGGCTCAACAAAGCTCATTTAATTAGCTAACAAGTCAAGCACAAATTAATCTGAGTCATCAGCAATTTTAAATGAGTCTAATTTAAACATTATTAGAGATACCCAAATCAAACAAGCTTGATTTTAACAAATGTGCTCAAGCTCAAGCACAAGAAGCTCCAACTCCCTGAGTTGAGTTGTAGACCTAGTAAATAATCATTAAGATTACAAAAATATTATTATTTTTATTGAACAAATAACATATAGTGTAAAACATTTTTTTGACTTGTAGTTTAAGGAATGTACTGTATTATAAAGTAAATTTAATTATAAAGATCCTCACCCTTTTTTTTTTTTTTGAAAATTCAATCTCATTAAGCTACTATAATTCTTGTAGAAACAAATAGTCCATATGTTGAAACTATTTTTTTATTAAAAGAATTCCTATTTGCTGAATTTATTTTTAAATAAATATAATATAAAGTTTTCATACATAATACTAACTTCAAAATAAATTTGGAATGGTTCCAAAGTTTAGCTAGACCGGCATCGAATCATTATCTCATGTCACAAATTATTGATGAAAATGTATATTAAAAATTATTACACAAAACAAAATTTGAGGTATTAGAATGAGATATTAATTTATTAGTATTGTATGAAGATCTAGCTTACATAAAAAAAATAATAATAATAAATTAAAGAGGAGACACCAGAAATTCTATGTTAAAAATTACAATAAAGGAAAAATCACGGGGCCTATGATAGTTAAAATGATTCACCTATGTTAATATAACTAAATTTGACTCCTGAATAAGTCAATGTTACAAGTGTGTGAGATTTGAACTTAAAACTTTTTTTTTCTTAGGATGATAGAAAATTTTGAAGTGGTGATGACTAGGTGGATGCGCTGGAGGCCTAAAATGGGGACGTGTGACGATGGTTTGATTTTAGCGTCTACAGTGATGATGTGGTGTCGGTGGTTGGACGATAACTTATTTGTTATTATGGCTCGATGACAATGATAACAAAAATCTAGTGTCAACTTTTCTCTGACAACGACCACAATGATAGCAATGATTGCGTGGTAGTAGAGATGTGAAAATGATAGTTTGGAAATAACTTATCAGCGATGACAATAACATCAATAGTTTAGTGGTAACAATCTAGCAGTGATTTAGCAATGAAAGTGGCGATGACAGCTTGACGATGATTATCATCCGATAGTAGAGATGACAATAGAATGATGGCTATCTGGCGGCATTGATGGACTGACAATGGTAATAACTAAGCGATAAAGATCTAACAACAATGACAACGATTGGGTGATTATAGTTTAGCGATGGCAATGACTTGACCATAGTGGTTCAAAGTGAATAGTTGGAGCACTATAGGATCTAAGCCAATTAGTGTCGGACTAATCCAATGCTAATATTGGGAAAATTCGACGCTAAACAGATTTAGTGTCATATTTGAATCAGACATATAGTCGGCGTTAAAAATTGGGTCGTTAATTCAATCAGCGTTAATTTTTTGCATTGGATTTAGCGTTCTTAAAACTCGCAGTTATCCAACTTCGATGCTCCCCATGACGACACAAATTTTAACTGTGAAATCTTTGTTGAAAGCTTGCGTACATAAATTGGCATTGTATTTGCGTCAGACTATATCAAAAAACATTGAAAAAATTCGAAGGATTAGCGTTAGAATTTATGACACAAACCTATAACCAATAAAAAAAATAAAAAAGCGATCGAATTTTCACAACCTGTGCCCAACAAATACGAGTAGCATCTTGATTTAAATATATTTGTCACAATTCAAAATCTATATCACAAAGAAGTACGAACAATGAAAAAAAAAATGTCACAAGTATTAATTTAAATTCATGAAAGATCACATCTAAACAAATAATATATGTTCATATGCTCAAAAAGAAAAAAAATACATAAACCCATATGGCAGGGTAACACCATCAAACTCTTTATCAGCATCATCATCATCCTCCTCTTTATCCATAAAACTCATAAGCTGCCCACCCTGACTATCTGCAATACTCCGACGTGCTAGAGTATACTCAACTCTATGCTAGCATTCACACATCTAATAGAGCTCTTCATTCATAACACTGATCAGTCTAGCAAGCTCCTCGTGCTTTAGCTATAATGATCTCGAGCCACTCATAGAAATATGAGAGAGCAAGACCTCAAATGCTATGCCCTTTTCTCCTGGGTCATAGACACTCCCCTTATTCTTCCCCGTCACCTAAGTTTATAGCTCAAAATCAAACTGCACGGTGGTAGAATAGCTACCACCATTGTTGGCTAATGTTGGAGTATGGCTCTCCAACTCCCTCTGCCTTTTCCAGTGCTACTCATATTCATCATATATAATTAAAAATAATGATTAATTATCATTTTTAATATATATAGTAAAAAAATATAGAAAATTGTTTTTTTTACTTACATTGATCTGCTGAGAGAGATCAAAGACCCAGTGTCGCGTCATTGTGCACTGATGTGTTCGAACATGCAACTCTACGGTGGGTGGTGGCAGGCCAAGCTCCTTAGCCGGTGTACATAAGAAAATGATACTTACCACATAATAACATCAATCATTCAATTTTTGAATATTTAGATAATAATACAAACCTATAGTAGTGTTCGATGTGAGGCACTGAGCCTCCAATGTAGAGTGTGGCACCCATGGCCCCCTCGGTTGTCCTGTTCTGCTGATTTGTTTGCCCTCTTCCTCTAATAATCCACAAATACCAATCCAAATAAGCCTTCTCATCTTAACAACATTGAATTTTATGTTTCTCTTTACAGACCAACATCTTGTCCCATAAAACATTGCAAGACTTGCCCTTATCTTATCAAACATTTTTTCAAGTCCAAGCACTATCTTTCAATCACACAGTAGGCTCGTTGCATTCCTCCAC